AGTACCATTTTTCTGAAAAGTCCTCTCCTATCCAGGCTGGAGCGCAGCAGCCCTAGCGGGATTCTAAGGGCCGATTCACAGACTGACAACGAAGCAGGTCTCCCCCAGTGAACCCAATTTGAACCGTCTATCATAGTAGTTATGACAACTTGATAAATTTTCGGTCGTTTTGCTAACTGCGCCAGTGATCTTTGCCATTTATGATATCAAACTATGTCAGGGAAAGTTCCAAGTTTATGGTCCGACTCTGGAAACCAATACACTTAATCTGCCAAATGATACCGGCCAAGATGCATTCATTGCGGTCGTCTTAACAACACGACCAAATTGCGAAGGGGTGATCAAATCAAAGACGACTGACTAAAATTGAGGTAATATCATCTTGGTACACAGGCCTTCTATCATGTCTCTCTCATTTCACATTTTTGGTGGAGAGTTTAGTATCGATGGGCAACGTGGTGAAGATATTCGAAGGTAGATGCCGCCAGAATACGACAGAATCCCACATACGAACGCAAGTTCATGCTTCTAGATTGATGTATGCCTTATATCTCATCTAAGGACAGATATAGGGCCTATATACCGCATTTAGGCATAATCCGGAGAGTTATCTTGACTAATTTGCTCTAATATAATTGTAATATCGTCCTGATCTGATTATGTCCGCGACAGCCTAGCTCGTTTTTACCAGAATCAAAGAGTATCGCCTCAGAAACAGCCTCAATAAGAATGTTTCGGTAAGGCCAATTGAGAGCTGGAAAACGCGCAATCCGCCGGCGTCTTCTGGTGGAATCGGCATTCGAATATTTTCTCCAAACACTTTCACTCGAAATGGAAGTGAGCTCAACAAACTTAATTCCCACACTTTGCTTGGCTCAGGAAGAGACAATGGGTATGGAGCATAACCCTAACAACGCAAAGGTTGACACGAGTTTTAGGGTAATATTAACTGAACAGAATATCTTATTTTCTGTAAGGAAAATGGGCCTCAACTGCAATAGGGACGACAATGGTAAAGCCAAGCTCATATTATCAGCTTTTCTCGCCCAGTACCTGTACCACACGACACCAGCGCTTTGTGAACCAGGGGAAGGAAATGTTTAGTCGGCAACCGGAAGCCGCATGGGGCCAGCCTTCGAAGGCGTGTAGCTCGACAATAAGAAAGTCTCCACCCTCACGTTCCACGGCGTAATCGCAACGAGTCCCGCGGCTTTCGTAGTAGAAAAGCTGCACCATGCCACAGCGAGAATTCTTGTAATCAGGACAAAGAAAGAAGACGAAATAGTTGTGATTAACCATATCATGCAATCTTTCAGTGGTACTCAGGCCTAGAAACTAAATAAGAATTATGTATCTAGGTTACTACTATGTAACGAGTAGTAGTATTAATTAATTACAAAGATTTCCGGAATATTTTACAGACACAAAAAAATAGAATTGGCATATATATATATATATATATATAGGCATATATTATTTGAAGAAATATTTTTGTACAAGTAGAAAATGACTCAAAGCATTTAAAGTAATCATAAATAAGAGATGTGAAGACCAAGGTGTTGTGGCCTCGGGTATGGTCGCAGTCTCCTTTCGACTCATAGAAGTGGGTTGACCTCGTTGTCGCAAC